TTGGAAAACGATACCAAGCTGAGAGCTACGCACAAAGTTTAAGATATTTCCTATCTCTTGTAAATTTTCAATGTTCTCTTTGAACTTAGAAAATACAGAGTGGGCAATGTCTATCAAAGTTATATGTATATGAAGAGGAATTAAGCCAAGTAACGAAAGGAATGCACATAAGGGAAGGTAAGTAAGTAAGGTAAGTGTAAGGTAAGTATGAGGTAAGTAAAATAATTAAAATGTACTGCAAAGCATAAAAAGAATTGTCCAAGGAATTCTTGGAAATGACGTCATTTCTTAGAATCGAACCACGAGCGACCTCCTATCATATCATGTTATCCTGATACAAAGTCGTGAAAATGACCAAAAAATCTTCGTCGAGGCTGCAAAAGTATTCTCCGAAGAATTCTTGGAAATGACGTCATTTCTTAGAATCGAACCACGAGCGACCTCCTATCATATCATGTTATCCTGATACAAAGTCGTGAAAATGACCAAAAAATCTTCGTCGAGGCTGCAAAAGTATTCTCCGAAGAATTCTTGGAAATGACGTCATTTCTTAGAATCGAACCACGAGCGACCTCCTATCATATCATGTTATCCTGATACAAAGTCGTGAAAATGACCAAAAATTTTTCGTCGAGGCTGCAAAAGTATTCTGTGAAGAATTCTTGGAAATTACGTAATTTCTTGGAATCGATCCACGAGCGACCTCCTATCATATCATGTTATCCTGATACAAAGTCGTGAAAATGACCAAAAATTTTTCGTCAAGGCTGCAAAAGTATTCTGTGAAGAATTCTTGGAAATTACGTCATTTCTTGGAATCGATCCACGAGCGACCTCCTATCATATCATGTTATCCTGATACAAAGTCGTGAAAATGACCAAAAATTTTTCGTCAAGGCTGCAAAAGTATTCTGTGAAGAATTCTTGGAAATTACGTCATTTCTTGGAATCGATCCACGAGCGACCTCCTATCATATCATGTTATCCTGATACAAAGTCGTGAAAATGACCAAAAATTTTTCGTCAAGGCTACAAAAGTATTCTGTGAAGAATTCTTGGAAATGACGTCATTTCTTGGAATCGATCCACGAGCGACCTCCCGTCATATTATGTTATCCTGATTTTGAACAAGAAACTTGTGTTACAGATTCTAATATAAAATTCTAGAAGTGACAGTTAGCGCCATCTATGATTTTGGACTGGAAGCTTGTGTTACAGTCCAAAATCACAGATGGCGCTGACCGACATTTCTAGAATTTTATATTAGGGACTGTAACACAAACTTCCAGTGCTAAATCATAGATGGCGCCGACCGATGTAATTTGAATTTGCATTGGAAAATTAATAAATTACTCGATTTCTGCGAATAATTTATGAACTTTTATAATTGCATCGTAAAGGCACGTCCTTTACGAACTTTTTAATATAACTTTGGATATTAATTTTATCCTAATTAATTAATTACGAATAATTATTCCTCGGACCGTTCGAACTGATACCGAAAATACTATTGAATTTTCATTAATTCCTCTTTCCTATGCAATTAATTTATAAATTACATGCACTCATTATAAAAACAATATCCTTGGGAATGTTCTCATATAATTTTTATTCGTATTTCATTTCTAGTTTCATTTATAATTAATTATTTTAACAGACATACGTGCCAATCGTTGTTGTCAAATCCCATACGCCAACAAGCAATTAATAGTAAATTAATTAGCATCAATTTACGTGCAGAAATTGCTTAAGAATGTTGCCCAAAGATCCAGCTTTGCGATGTAGCTATAAAAGTTCATAAATTAATCGCAGAAATTGTGTAATTTGTTAATTTTCTACTGTCGAAGCATCTGTCCTTTTCTAACCACGTTCTGTCTTTATCTTCCACGCGACGAGGTTTAGACGATCTCTTTGCGCATTCTGTATTCCTGTTCCTTTCCTGAGCTTCTGGTCCAAAATCATGGCGTTGGCCACTGTCGCTTGATTTTTCATTCGGCAGTAAAAGAATTTACAATTTACCCAATTTCTGCCACTAAACTATGAACTTTTATAACTGCATAGCAAAGCTGGCGTTAGGAATTAGGAATACATAACATGAGAGGAGGTCGATCGTCGACTGAATTCCAAGAAATGACGTTTATATCACCATTGGGTTCTTAATAATTATTTTTTTTTTAGATCTAATTTATTATTATTCCAGATTTTAATATTTTTTTCTTTTCAAGATTTAATTATTCTTATCTTTTCAGGTTTTAATAAGGTAATAAGTAACCTTATTATTAGCAAATAAAACTATCTGTATTCATAAATAATTCGTAAATAAAATGGTGGATCATTAGAACCACAGCCCTTCAATGGCGGAAGTACCATTGATTAATCAAATAGAGGATTAAAAAGAAGAATTAATTTCAATATTGAGATTGCTAAAAGCAGTTAAATATATGTTTCCAATGATTATAAAAGCGAATTGCATGAATTACGAATAGTTTTAACATTTAAATTGATTTAATAGTTTCAAAGTTAAAAGTGAGGTTAAGTATCAGTACCTTGCGAAACTGTGGATATTATGATTACTAAATTAATCGCAGACGTAGTTGCATAATAGTAGCAAATGTAAATGACTGGTTTCTATGGAAGACACAGGTTTCACTGACATGAATTCATCATACTTCGATTCGAACCGACAGTAATTAATCACGTCGAGTTAAATGCTCTAGGTTCTTGCTGCGTTACAGAGACTGCGGTTTCTAAATTAATTTCAGTTACAGTTGCATAATGGTAGCAAATACAAATGATATGTTCCACAGATGATACGCGTTTCATTGACATAAATTAATTGTACGTCGATTTGATTAGGTGCTAACTATAATCTCGCTGCATCCGAACGCTCCTTGTGCTTTCTAAACTTTACAGATTATGGTTTCTAAATTAACATCCATTAACACTATGTAATAACAGCAGATATATATGTCAAGCATCTATAGAGGTCTCAGACTTTATTAACACGAATTAATTACTCCTTGGTTTCATTAAATGATACCTAAAATCATATCTGACAGCATTTTCTGTATTTCTCCTAAATTTTAGAAGCTGTATCTAAATTAATTCCAGATACAATTGCACGATATAGTTAAAACAAATGGCGAATTCCTATAGAAAACACAGGCTTCATCAATGTCAATTAATTATTTCTCGAACTGATCAACATTTTGACAACCACGCACATTTTATATAGTACACTCAGAGAGCCACAATAAAACTTCCATTACTTTTAGGATATAATGATGCATTATCGACCAATATGCCAAGAAAAAGAAGAAAATGATGCAAATTATTAATATTTCCTATTCAAAATTCTCTATCCATTCAAGTTGTCTAAATTCTCAAAAAATGGTTACAATAAAACAAATATAAATTTAAAAAATTAGTATCGTCAGGCACCATCACCATGGTGACCACCATGGCCTTACTGTTGAGGCAACCATCGGTCACTGGTGACCACCATGACTGTCAACGTGTTAAATGCAACCTAAATAATGTCAAACCAAATGCTCCTCGTCTTTGCCAAACTTCAGAGACCATAGTTCCCAAATTAATCTCAGATAGCATAACAGTAGCAAACGAATGCCAAGTTCCTGCAGAAGACACCGGTCTAGTTGACGCGAATTAATTATCCTTCGACTCGATTAGGTGTCAACGACGACCACGTTCCACCCAGGGGTCCAAACGATCGGTTACACTTGTGAATGAAAAATATTTCAACAACTCTCGCGCGAAGACCGTCCCCGGCATCAAATTCTTGCGTCACGTGTTGCAAAAGATTTTGAAAGGCGCGCTAAATAATTGCGCATCGTCTTATGTGGAGCACGATTCCATTCGCGAATATAATTGAACGTTGCGAAACCGCGTGTTCGCCTAATTACCTCGTCGAACAGTTTCCTCGCGGTAAAAACGGGCCTGAAGAGGACTCAGGTTGCGAACGGGGACCTGAATCGGGGGAGTCCCTAGGCTGGAGAGTATTAAACCACTCGCGCCATAAGCCACGGAGAACATCGCGTTCACTCGCGCTTTTCATTCACAATAAATTTCACACTTGCTCAGCATGACTATCGAATCGCAGCGAGAACGCGCACGCCTCCGTGCTGTCGTAATTTCCCCTCTCGCGCTATTCGGCGTCATGGCGTTTCGTTACGGAATCCGTTTCGACGGCCGCGAGTGACATCACTCTCGAGGATCTCGCGATGACAGCGTCTTGATAATACCACGGTAGATCCGAGCGAATTTCGTGGGCTGTCGTGCACGAGACTCATGGTCGTGGAACGGTTCTGGACATTAGGATTATGGCCGAAGCGTGGCAGCGAAATTTTGGCCCATTTCGCGGTGAATCATCGCGATCCGATCCGGGCCTTTCGTGTCAATTATCGTAATTCCGACGATGAACCGATTATACTTTGGCAAGAGTTTGCAAAATTTATCGCAGATCATACCTTCGTCTACATTTGCAACGGTGTTATTTATATGACCAAAGGGTGGAGTATACGAATGTTTCAAAGACTTTCTTTTTCAAAGGACTTAATTGGATTGACAGCTCTTAGGCTCGAAGGGTTAGGCACTCCTCGATCGTCAATGGTTTCAATTATTTTAAAAGGAGACTGCAAGTCCTTCGAGTCTTGACAGCCGATAGACACTTGACACGTCCCTGCATGTCAGTTATCGTATCTTTGGTAAAGCGATCGAATTCTACACAGAATTGATCAGAATTCTAAACCTAAACCAGCTCGGATACTTCGTCTAAATTTTCTTGAAATTTCTTAAATTCCTTCTAAATCACTCCTCGACCTGAATCCAAAAGCCAGTGTCTAACACAAGCTGAGAAAGGGGAACTTTCTCTGACAAGAATGAAGCAGCTCAGAGACGAGGTAAAAGGGGCCCAGAAATTAAGCTTAAGACTATGAATTCGCGGAAGACGAAGAGAAAGGGAGGTCGTATAGTCCACTTACCGGAGGAGGAATCTCTGGAGGGTCTGGAGGGTCTCGGGCCCAGAGGATGATGGCTCTGATAAGGCGGGGGCGTAGCGGCGCTGTCGGAGCCTATTCCGCTGCTGGCCGCGCTCCTCGTGCCACCTCTGTCAACCGTAGTACTACCGCCTACGATCGTTTGATTCAGGCAACGCCTGAACTCGATCCCGGCCAGATTGCCCCGGTGTCTGTGAACCGTATCGTAGTCCCGCGGCGGCAGCAGGATCGGGCCCACGTCGTTGTCCCCGGAGTTGCCTCTGCCTGAAAAGGAATAAGCCGCGGCTCGCGCTCATCCTCCTCGCGTACCAAGCTATACCTCAACCACGCTGTCTGCGCCGATATTCCTGCCCGTGTTTACGTTTATATCTTCCTCCTGCATCTCGCGTTTGAACTTGTATCCCCGTGCTTCGCCGCGGAGTTTACATCTTACGGGGTGCATTAGCACTTGCTGTTTCGTAATTTAACTCGCAGTTACAGTTGCAATCTGAACGCAACATCGCGACTGCACTCCGAATTCTTCTTAAAAGTTACGTAGTTGCGCATAAAAATGTTGGCTCAAGTACCCGCTGTTACCCTCCGAGATATCGTCCCGGTTTCAGTTTCATACTCTCGAGTATGCATAGTAAACGGTTGCGAGCGCAATTACACGCAGTTGCATCTGCTGCTGCGGATTTAATACATGCACTTGGCAGCCGCAAATTTGGATGTATCTGCGATTGTATTGATGCATCTGTAACTCCATTTTGTACCTGACACGATTAAGTATATACCTGGAGGCGGACATGTGCACTTTCAGATGCAAATGCAACTGCGTTTGTAAATGTGAACACTGTAATGTATGCGTAGTGTCGATAGTATAATATCGAGATGAAGCAAGTTCGCAGTCGGATTTTGGGTAGTGTAGGTTTAATAAAGAAAGTTGGGCCGAAAGAAATACTCACCCAGCTTGGCACGCAATTCAGCAGCCAGGGACTCGTATATCGTGGTGGTTTGCACGGAATCGTGTCTGAGCTCACCGCTGCCCTCTGATGACTCCGATTCCCTGGTGCTCCTACCATCGCTGCCTAAATTGCTACGAGCTCTGCCTTCGAGCGAGTTGACCCTGGCTAAATTGTCGGTGTGTGACGCCAGTGCTTTCAACTGACCGCCGAGTAATTCGGCTGTTTCGACCGAGTCGCATCTAAAGTCAAAAGAGATTCGAATCTATGCATGGGGACGATCTGTGCGTGGAAAGCTGACCTAAACGCTAATTCGGTTCGAATATCTAGCGAAGAGGTTGAGTAAACGGGGAACAAACGGTTCTCTGATTAAATTCAATCGCTCGACTGTCATAAAAATATTCCTAGAATTCCCTAGAATTCCGCGAATTCAAAATCTAAAAGATCTCGAGGGCCATGCTCATAATTGCGACTTACTGACTTAATCCTCCGTTTCCCATAGCTGAACAGCTGGCTTTTAATTTATAATCAGCCGTCATTGGGACCACGTTCGCCGCGATCGATGACCTTTATTATTTTCCATGAACTCAGCAAGAAATCGCGGCCAGCGAACGATCGCATGCCTCGAAACGCCGCGTTCCCGAATGAACCATTTACCTGGTTTCGATCGAAACCGCCGATTCATGAATTCAATGGCTACGTTGTATAACCCGCGGTTCCATTACGTGTCGGAAAATCATTGTGCCGGATTGAAGAGCGGCCGAGGATAGGTGAGACAGAGGAAGAAAAAGGAGACAGGAGGAGATACGCGAATAAACGCGCTCTTCACACGGGATGAAAATACGGTAATCTTGTTTTCAATGCCAAGGCTGTTCTCGTGCCGATCGGATTAGCATGTGCGAACGCTGACTTACGAACGTTATTAGCGACCCGTTAGAATCGTGCAAGTCGTTAATTAGCGAACCGAGCGCGTTTTACGACGCCTGAGATCTGGCCTACGGACGAAATGGCGGCGTATGACGGAGTCATCCTCTCCGCCATTGCATAAAAGTAGCAGGCGATCGCCTCGCTTGGATCTGCCTGCGTTCGTTCACCGAACCCGCTGACATCGGATTAGTCGGGCTAACGAGGCTACAGCCGGAAATTAACGCGTTTCGAACGATCCGAAAGAGACCAAGGGAATCGGTAACGCGGCCGTTTTCCGGATAATTATCAGTTAATTGGTACTAATGCGATCAGATTGTGCGAACCGGCTGCTCTACGCGGTTCCGTTTAATTAGAGATTCATGGTAATTTATGATAATACAGATCAAAGATCCCGACACCGGAGGAAGAAGTTGAAAAATTCTAGCCACCCAAGGTCACCAGGCGCCTCGCCGTATCGTCCTTCCGTTCCTCCCACCGCGCTGCTTTTATGATTCGTGGCCGGAGGCCGAGTAGAGGGCGCTACGAGGCGCCGGAGTAGGGGTAGCCGGCAGCGGCGGTGGGGGTGGCGACCTTGAGCGGCCAAAATCTTCGAGCGGGCTATGTGTCTTTAAGCTTCTGGTAACCTGTACGCGTGCACGTGGACGGGATTGTTGGTGGCCGGGTTTGGAAGCAGTAGTGTGGCGGCGACGACGTCCTCTCGTTGCACGGCCGCCAGTACAGCGTGTCCTGGCACTAAATGCTTCACGGCCGACCTCGTCGAGCCGCCTGGATGAACCGTCTGTATAATCTTCAGCCCCTTGTTGCTCACCTGGCAATCGTAAAACGTGCACGATCAGCTGGCCGACGCTTTAATAGCTGCCCCGTTTAACGGTGTTTTAACGCGCCCGCGCAGCCGCGACGATGAGTTACGCGGCCACGGAAACGTTCCATCGTTGCGTACTAAAATGCAAATCGACCGATGGCTATACGTATACGCGAGGATCGTGCTACTTCGACGGTTGTAACGCATCGGCGAACCGGGCTTTAATGAACGTTTACGTCGCCTCGATTTTCTGCCTTAAAAGGAGACGGTATGCGAAGAAAAAGCCGAGAGGTTGGATTCTTCTGCGCGAGTTACGGGCCTCCTCTACTTTCGGCAACTCTCATTTTACCTTTAACTTCTGCTGATTTAGGTGGTCCGTTCGTTCGTCCATACTTTTACGCCAGTTACAAGCCTCTTTCGCCACTGGTCGCTTTTAATTTACCTTTAACTCGGGCTCAACTCGACCATTAATTACTCGATTCTTTTACACGAATTTCGGGTCCTTTCTGTCTTTCGGAATTTTTACCGTAACCGTACCGTTGGTTCAGGGTAATCCATTGATCCTTAAATTCCTTTGCGGTAGTTACGAGCTGCTTTTATCCGTGGTAATGTTTATTTTAATTCCTTTGGTTCGTGTGGTATATTAGAATACTTTAAGAAATAGCTGCAGTTAAAAGCTATCGCTCTATGCACTGACAAATTTGACCTTTGTATCGGTATTCAGGTATGCAATTACTGACGCTACTGGTAGGATTGAATTTCAATAGTAGTCACTGATGCACCGATAGCCAGCAGTATTCGATAAGCATGGTTATCGCCGAAGAAGGAATGCTTTCCCCATAACAATACCATGTTCTCCATGTACGACTGAGCAAAAAACGCAATTTCCTTTTGGAAAGCAAATAATAACAGCGGAACGATGAAAGCGAGCACGGTATTGCAAGAAAAAAAATGGAACTTTCTCTATTTTACGATCACGCCTTTAGGAATGTGCGTACCAGCAAATCAATAATTATTGCTCGCCCTGGGCCATTGAAATTAACAGCATACCGTTTCATTAGCGGCCATGAAGATCCATTAAGCAATCGATAAGTATCGCGATGAGTAAATGATTTTCGACACTGCTAGATCGTAAATGCGATACAACATTGGACAATCTTCTATGAAAAACAACTATTCTATTCCTGCAGTCTCTGAGAATTTTAATTCGAAACTTAGAAAAGAAGAAGACACATGAGCCATAAATTTATAATTACAATTTCGCACCGAAAAATTTACGAAGCCAAAAATTCAGCAGAAATACTATTCTATAAATTAAAAGTACCTTTCCAAGATTATTTAAGATCATGAAATATTACATAAATCTCGAATTAACCCTATCACGCGTAAGCATTCTGAGCCAGGCTTAAGACGATTTTCCATTTAACTCACTAGCGCCACCGCGGTCCATATCTCCAATAAATCTAACGTAAATATCGTTGAATTATTTTCTTGCTACCCATGTTACATTATCGATAGAAACTTTTATGATATACAAACTAGAAGATTCTACGCGCATCAAGAATATACCATCTTCCAAGAACTATTTAAAACCCCAAACGACTGCATACGAAATAATTAAGACGATTTTCTATTTAACTCACTAGCGCCACCGCGGTCCATATCTTCAATAAATCTAACGTAAATATCATTGAATTATTTTCTTGCTGCCCATGTCACATTGTCAATACAAATTTTTATAATATACAGACTAGAAAATCCTATGTACATCAAAGATATACCATCTTCTAAGAATTATTTAAAGCCCCAAGAAACTGCGTACGAACTAAAAATTCGACTTCCTCGAGGACCCCTACCTACACATCGAACAGGTACACCTGTACTCGCAAGGTAGTTGCAAAATCCAGTCCTCAAACGTTTTACCAGATGCACGAACAATAATCAGGCCTGTCCTCGCGTGTGCGACATCGCCGAAATCGGCGAAGGGGAGAAACTGACGAGCAATTTTCGTTCGCCGCGAAGACTGTTCATTAAAGCTGTCGCGAAAATTCGGCGCGCTAAAATATTCTCAAGGCAAGCGGTCTCTCGCAACGGGCCGGCAATTACACTTGCACAACAATTAGGCGGGCCTCGAGGGATTTCGTAATAATTTTCTGTTTTTTTCTCCCCCCTCCGCGGTCCCCCCGGCGGCTTTTATTTTCCTCCGTCCCGTCGGACAGCGCATGCCCGCGGCGAATTAACGCGCCGCCTAAATCTACGCGGAAAGACGTCCATCAAGATCGAACGCGCCGATATGGAGAACGCCTTTGTTTTCCAGGCGATAAAGCTTCGAGAAGCTTGGTGGTTCCTAAACGCGTGATAAACGCTGAATGATAGTTCCCTGAACGTGAGATACATTTTTTCACGACGCCGTTGAATAGCCGCAATCTTCCTACAGAGTCTTTGTCAGGATTTACGAGTTCCATCATGGTCGGCCATTTTTCTTCTTCGAGAGATAACCTCTTTATTAACTTCTCCAAACTTCTCGAAATTTTTGCAGGATTTTAAAGCAGTTCTGGATATTGTCGTTTAATACAGTGGATAGGTTATGTTTTACTGGGATAATGTCTCACAATCGGAACAACTACATATTTACTATAAACTATACTTTCTTTATAAGAAATAACTATACTCAGAATAACTAAACTGTGCTTTCTTTGAGGTAGCTTGGAAGAAAGTGTCTTCTACCGTTAGGTTTTATTTGAATAGCCAAAGAAATGCTAGATGTCGCTAGAAGCGTCTAGCAACATGGGGCGGGAGATTAGAACTCTCCAATAGATATTTTTGGTAATCGAAAAATATTAAGAAGCTAATCGTACTTATTTCATGGAACCGAATGAAGAGAAATCTAGTGTAGTATCAATAACGTGGCGATTTTTAAAATGAACGTGCAACCCTCTCGGGGAAATTTCAATTGACATGCAACGGGAATGTCGAGCAACATGGCAGCTTAACGGTCGAGGGACAATTTCGGTGTCATCCATTTATTTTCTCTTTCCCATATTGAACGCACCGGATGTATTAGCGGCGTGCCCGTTTCTGCTAACATTCGGGTCAACGAATCTTTTATTGCGCTTATCTAATTAACCTTGCTCCGCGAGGCCCCTTATTAATACGTATTTAATTGCATCTTTGACCCTGAGAGGCGGCTCGAAAAGTCTCGCGTAGTTACTCGCGTATTTATTTATAATTAATTTCACGGAAACAAAGAAGACAGAAGGGGGGAGCGCGGATCGCTGAAAAGGTTCAACGAAAGTTCACCCGATGATGCTCAGTGGAGGAAGGAGTCACTTGACATCGTTCCAGGAACTTTTCTAACTTTCTGATGCAACAATTGCTCGTGGCACGTTTTCGTAACAGCAGAATCTAGGTTTCGGGGGGATCTCGACGAAACTTTCTTAGGAGCAACACGAAACGAATTTTAAGGAGCCATACGACTAATCGTATCGCGTCTGTGTATAGTCGCGGATCAGATGGTGCGACAAAAATTCGAAGAATGTCACGAATAATCCGTCTGACCGCTTTTTTCCACTTTTCGTCTAGCCTGGGTGACCACAGGTTTGTTTATCGGACAAAGGAGCCACTCCTAAAATCGGATTTCTGCGACGAAGGAATCCAAGAGACCCGGATTACGACCACGGCTAAACCGGCAATCCCGTTCCACCCCCGAACTCCGTCGCCATCGCTATCCGAAACGAGATTCCCCGTAAAATTTAGCCATCAGACTGAGCATCGCGCGCTCCTTTGCATATCGCGAGTTGACACCATATGGTTGTTTTCGTGTGTTTAAAATCGCAGAAGGTTCAGGACGAGGCATTAATTCGCGGTCCAACCCCTCTTCCATGGTTTTGATTCACTCGGTGGCGAATTTCGTGGAAAAATACGAGCGTTCCCGAGGAAGCTGATAAACCGAAGGTGGCCGAGGCCTGGCGATCTCGGTATGTAGGCTGAGGTCATAAATTGGTGATTTTTATTCGACCTGCAGACTGCTTTCACTGGCACCCGATGAGACGCGTGCGCGCGAACGCGTTAAACAAAACGAAACGAAACGGAATGGAACGAAATGAAACGAAATGAAACGAAACGAAGAAGCGTGGCCAGGCCTCCCCTTTTCAGGTCCCGATAATTAATTCTCCTTTTCGCGATATTTTCGGCCACGAAACCGGATCTCCGAAATGGTACCGCTCACCTGCAGCGTGACCTTGAAAGGCTCCTGAAGCCGTTCTCGCTCGAGCAGGTAAGCTATGGCACCGGGCATCGCGTCCACCCCCTTGGCCTCCCTCGCGCCCAGGTACCAAACGTAGTACGAGCTCTTCTTGACATCCTTGCTGCTCCTCAGACGCAGGGCCATCACTCACTGTTCGCCGAAAGAAAAGATGCATCGTTCGTTAACTCTGTGGCTTTACGTCTTTTGAAAGTTCGGCGAGCTGGTTCTCCGATTGTTTGAAAGTTTGCGTCGCGAGTTCGGACGTTTCGGGATTTGGTAATTTAGAAAGTTGGAAATTTAGAATTTTGAAACTTTAGAGATGTAGAAAGTTGGACAATTGGAAATCTGCGGGTTTAGAAGTGTGGAAAGTCGGGAATTTGGAACTTTAATGCATTGGAAATATGAAAAATTGGGAATTTGGAATTTTGATGCTTTGGAAATATGAAAAATTGGGAATTTGAAATTTTGAAGCTTTAGAAATACGGAATGTTGAAAATTTGAAGTTTTGAAGCTTTGGAAATATGAAAAATTGGGAATTTTGAAGCTTTAGAAATATGGAGAGCTGAAAATTTGAAACTTTGAAGCTTTGGAAATATAAAAAATTGGGAGCTTAGAATTTTGAAGCTTTAGAAATACGGAAAACTGAAAATTTCAAACTTTGAAGTTTTGGAAATACGAGAAATTGGGAGCTTAGAATTTTAAAGCTTTAGAAATCTAAAAAGTTGGGAATTTGGAACTATAAGACTTCAAAAATATGAAAAATTGAAAACACAGACCTTCTTAAAAATCTTGGCAATTTAGAAATTCGAGTATTTCAAAATTGTGACATTAGAAATATGACGAATTAAGAATTGCAAAAATTAAAACCTTTTCACTGTCATAAATTGAGATTGAATATTTCAAGATCAAGATTTGAAGATACAAAAAGTCAGGGAGAATGAAAATTAGGTATCTGAGACTCTAAATTAAGCCTGGAGTGTAATTTGCAAAATTGACGATTTTGAAACTGTGGAATTTAGCGCATTCCAAACTATTTGGATGAAAAGTAGAGAGACTGGAGGTACTGGGCCCGTGAAAAGTATACCGTAACCTTATTAAACACAGCCTTCGACTGCACTTCGAGTAAACTCCGGGATTCTCGATAGCTGATCGAACGTATTGCTCAAGTATAGGCCGGAATCGAGACAGTACATTATCTTCCGTCGTAACACGGTAATTATTAAAATTCATACCATCGCGGACCTTTCTTATTGGACATGGCGTGTCCATAACGTTTCCCCGGCGCAAAAACGGCGATTTTCCACGAGGCAAGCTTGCAGCCGTGGCTGGCTGGCGAAGAACACGAACGGCTTGTCTGTTCATCCGCTTCCTCAATTACTTTCACGCTTAAACCCGTTTTCTACGTTAACCGTCTCGCGAAGAATCGGTTCCCACCGATCTGCATCGCGTCGATGCCGTATCTAAAGCGAAAATATCTCAGGAACCGGAACACGTACGCGTTCAGGATCAATGTCGACCTCGTACGATCGATTATCGATCGATTTTTCATCGATAACTCATTCGCCTCGATGCCTTTTACGTGCCCACTTAAGCACCGTTCCAGACCTCCAGCGCCATTGAAATTTTAAACAATCTATTAAAGAAATTAATTACCATCGATCATGGCATATTCCTTCAACGCCGCTCTCTATCCGATCTAACTTTCAGTATCTTCGCTCGACCGTACTCAATTAACCGATTAAACAAGCCTGAGTCAAATACAAATGGACGCCTTTGCGAAAGGAACGTGTAACACGCTTATCCTGCTTTCTACCACGAGTTCCGATTATTTCTCTCCACGAAATTGACAATTTTCACGAAATTTCTTCGCAAAGGCGATAACAAGCACGAAGGAACGAGCATCGAAGAACGGGTTGCCAGAACAGAACAGACTCTCGATTTTGGAAACGGTCGAACAAGAAACGCTCAATATGCACGCGGTCGAAGCATGCGAAACTGTACACGATACCGTCCGCTCTTACGGTATAGGTTTGTTCTCTTTATTTATGCATTACACGCGTTTCGAAATCTTATACGCTCGCATGTAGCCGTAAATATGTAATAGGCTCTCTTTACCTACGGACACAGCACCGTTTACGAGAAGACTTATGCTTCTTTTAACGATAAATCGCATTCGGTTATCAGCCTACCAACCATCGAACGTGTAATCCCTGATAAATAGTCCCGAAATGACTATATCGAATCACGTTACGATTACTATCATTCAGCCGATGTCAAGATCGAATAACCCGTGTCGTCGAGTTATTTTTCCAGCATTTCGTATGAACAACGCGAATGACGAATACGACACGTGTCGCGAATTATCTTTGCACCCAACGTGTTCGCGCTTCTGCATAAAGTTCGCGGTCGCGAATTTGCATGAGGAGCAAAAAGAAGAGGAATGATCAGAGTCATTTATTACTCGCTATCAGATGCTGGAAACGTCTCGATGAATGGAAATTACGATCGTTTAAACGTTACAAAACCGCGATTACTCGAACGTTTGGAATTAAGCGCGGCAATGTAAGAATTACAACTTTCGAATCTGCCGCTTTCATCACCGCGCCGGAAGTAGTTAAGTTCGAATTTCTTCGACCGGGCCGTGTGCCGTTTTAATCGATCATTTCATCTTTATCACCGTGTATTCGAGCTTTCGATAACGCTTGAGGTGAACGCCGATATCTCGAAAGAGATTCAACTGAGCGTAAAAAAGAAGTGTGCATCGACGTAGTCCTCTGCGAGCAATACGTTGGATCAACGCGAGAATTATCAGAGCGACAAGAATGACTGGTGAAAATTGGTAACATCGGCATAGTACACTTTCTAGGCGGGATACATTGGAAAAATTCGTTTCCCTTTTTTCGGTTTTTGGAAAAAAGGCGAAGCGAAAATGACGGTTGCAGGTGGGGTTTTTATCCACAGCGAGCAGAGGTAACAGGAAATTAAATTAAAAAAGAAATGGTGAAAGAAACTGACCGGCAGCGAAACGGGTCCGGGATGCTGAGAGCTCGCGGCGATTTTCGCAGGAATTAAGCAACGCAGCGCGGCAGAGAGTCAACGGGTCTTCGGAAGGCAGACGGCGGCGGTGGCGGCGGCGGTGGCGGCGGCGGCTGGTTTCGGTGAGCAGAGGAACAAGTTGTACGGTACGTACGGCCCACGTACGTGCTTGCAGCATGCACAACCGCGTCTATGTAGTACGTATATACGTGTACACAAATCCTGGCCGGGCACACCAGCTCGATGAAGCGGAGGAAGAAGAAGAAGAAGAAGAAGATGGAGGAGGAGGGAAAGAAGAAGAAGAAGAAGCTCGCCTCGGTCGATCTGACAGCTGCGCGACTCCAGTCCGACGCACTTTTCCACGCTCGCCAGCGTTTCTTTATATGCACACGTTGCGTTTCTCTGTTTACCGTGTACGCTCGCTGGCGAAGAAACCGGTGAAACGAAAGGCGAAACTAAACGAAACGGAACGGAAACGTAGTCCAGGCACGATGTCGAGGAAGCACGGATTGCCGAGTTGAAAAAAAATATGGTGGAGACGGAGAAAAATTCGAACGATCCTGTAAAGGCGTCGCTTGTTCGCAGAGTTCACTTGTCAACGACGCGGCGCGAGTGGATTCGCGCGTACCTAACCATCACGGGATACTGACTCCACGGCGGAGATCCTCCGCGAAGAACTCGAGTGAAACGCGGACGAAGGGAGAGTGAGCGAGTGAGAAAGGCCGAGCTACCACCCGAGCGGGCAGAAGCGAGATGGCCGACCGACTCGAGTCGAGGTTATGTCTGTCCTTTAGCGGGGCCCCTCTCGCTCGTTTCGAATGCCCGTTTCGACGGGTCTCGATCTTCTGCGCGCTCTCCTCTCTGTCTTTCTCCTCTCTCTTTCGGACGAACCGCCACACCTTGCCGAGATCGACTCGCGATCGCCGGTAACGCGTTCTCTGCCAGCAGCCTCGAACTAACCGGACGGTTTTCTGTCCTGAATTTTAGTCCCGGGGCCCCTCGAGAGACGGAGACAGAC